CCTCCCACGACTAGCAGTGTAAGACTAGAAGGAAGGCAGCTAGTCATCACCACCCACCCCCAACTCTTGGGCTACTCTTTTACCAACGAATAGTGGGATTGACCGTCACATTATAACGCCCCCACGGCTGAAAGGGCGAGCATGTTTGGTGGGATGCGGATTCGAACCCGCGACCCTCAGGTTGTGAGTCGTTTCAATGAACAACTGTTTTCCTTTTCTAAAGAAACAGCCGTTAGTGTCGCATACAGTAAGGGAGGAAGCGAAAGAAAATGTCTTGGCTTCTTCCAGCGAGAAAGCTCCTATTGTTTTTAGCAGCGGCTCATAGGATGGCTCTGAATTTTTCAAGTACAAACTTTTAGCTCATAGCTTCGTCATCTCTTGACCATCTCTTGACCGATTTTAGATCTAATGACAGTTATGGATTCATGAGGTCAAACCCTTTTGACCACGCCCAAGGTCACAAAGATTAGTTTACTCTAATTCTGCCTAAAATAATTTGAATTTGAGGGTAGGCTGGTAGAAATTCTGATGAGTAATAAAATCGAATCGGGTATACGCGCGCCCCACGCATAAAAATATTACTAATAAAGAGGGAAACCTCAATAGTCGCAGCATTTGTAACTCTTTTAGGCGGGATTAGAGTAAAATAGCAACAAAAAACAGTAAACTGTGTTTTATGTTTATTTTGATAATCAGAAAACCAGAAGTTTGATGAATAAATCTCGTATTAAAATTATATTCTTAAAATGAAGCACGGGAGTCCACTTTAGCGCCAAATATTTCTGGTACAGTAGGCTGTTTCTCATAAAAAAAAAACACTATAAAGATACCTAAATGTGCTTTCAAACCTTGAAGCATAATTCACGTAGGATCAAGTGAAGTTTACATATTTGGCTCCTAGTTCACCAGATGATGACAGAATGTCAGCGATAGGCAGTTCTACGTTCATTGGGGTTTGGAAATAAAGTTACAGATAATTAAAACTTTCTTCAAGTAAGGCAGAGCAAAGAGATCACTTGTGTGAAATGAAAATATGAATTAAACATTCAATCAGATTTATCAAAATTTATCATCATTGCCGTAAACAGTACATATAAATATTCATAGTCTTATGGTTTACTTTTTCGTTTAAGTACTTTGCACTTCACCATCATCAAAAACTTCGTTGTTTTCAGAATTATTAACTTGGAAGTTGTTATTTTTTATTAGTATTATATTTACATAGGCCTATATTTCAATTATATCGCCGCGTGTATCACTGCTCGTGTCTTCCACTTGAGTATCAGCAGCAGAATCTACGTTCGACTTAATTATTCACATGTTGACGAAGAAAAATGTTATATGACTTTAAAAGAAAGATTTTACTAACACTGAAGGAATTAACCCGTTATACGAAATTTACCTATTTACAAGATACTGTTACGTCTCCGTTCGTTAATTAATTTTCCATAAATTCGTTCCGACGAAAATTTAGCGACACAAGTCCTTTCTTAAATAAAACTGGTTTATTTATTTCGAATACAACTTTGCGATACACTTAATTTCAACAGTCGCGCTATAACAAACGCTATAATTCTCAACGAACGTCTCACGTGCTCGACTTCAACAATACTGATTTCAATTACACATACTGTTCCGTCACGTTGTGACCGTCTTATATATACAAGACTAATACATATCTAGTAAACGCTAGAGCATTCATGAAGGAACAGGATATTTCTAGAAGGAGGTGGTGTGATACTAGTCACGTGACCTCGCTGACGCAACACTGCCCCTCCTTAATATTGTTCGTCCCGAACAATAGCCACTTACAATAAACCAATAACAATTAACAATAACTTAATTAAATGTACAGAATTACAATTCAACAAAGTCTTTTAATTTTATGGGATGTATCTTCTTCCATACTGGTCTCCGCCTCGTTGGCTTCTGCTTTATATGAGGTTCATCTGCTTCATCAGGAAATGTCCTATCGTCGGTAACAGTCACATCAGTGGTAGTAACTTCATCAAGAGCTTCACTGTTTCCCTTCTCAAAACTGAGTAGAGTTTCTTCTTCGACGTTGGCTTTTTCAGGTGACACTTCTTCAGCAGCATCATTGTTCACTTCATCCCAACTGAAATGTCCTGGACTGTGATAACGCCAAAGCCTGTTGGCATGCATCACTTTTGGCTTACCTCGCCGACCACATTTGATTCGGAATGTCACGTCTGAGAGACGATCCACTATGTCATATGGGCCTTCCCATGGAGAAGACAACTTATGAGACTTCCCTTTGGTCTTCCTGGGATTATACAACCAT